AGGGAAGGGAAGGGAAGGGAAGTATAACTTCTAAAACGCCGAGCAAATTCCTGTCCTCTCAGCATGTCTCGTCCACCTCTACGACCTCGTTCTAAGGACTCCAAACACGACCTCAATCGCTGAACTTGGCACTTGGTATGGTAGCTCTTGCTAGCGCTTCAATCTCACACTTATTGATTCCCAAAATCTGTTTCCCTATTACCGTATTGCATCCTGTATCGTCCCGAATAGAATGGTGCTTTGAATGTGGTTTTTGGAAGCTTTTCTGACACCCATGATGGTGCAATGTTTACACGTGTGATGGATAGTGGTGGTGCAGTGCAGTTGTAGCTTAGTAGATAGTAGTTGTAGCTAGGGTAGTTTAGCTTTAGTAGTTGTAGCTAGGGTTGATCATTCGTGGTAATTTACCGACGGGGGGGGGCGCATATCGTGGGGTCGGGCATATTTGTGGGTGACTTCTTCACATGTGATGACGAGGGCCATATCATCATCCCTCGAATGGGGAGGGTGTGGCGCAAACTTTGAAGTGTTCCCCACCGTCACGTTTGGCCCGGTCGTAACAGTGCCGAGGAAGCACGAGGTCCAGGTTCAATTGTCGGCTGAGGAGAGGTGTTGTGCCCAGAATTGACCGTTTTGTGGTGATACGGACCGCTACTTTCTGTTTCAAACAAGTCCCACATCTACAAAACTACTTCTCCTACCTCCAGCAGCCCCCCCGCGCCCCCATTATTTGCCTCGTTACGGCATATGGACTCTTCTGACGAGTTTGGCTTTCAAATGAGTAAAGATTCAAGCTGAAGAGCTCCAGTAATCGAATTGCCAATCGCCTGAAATATTAGTGAAGTATTGCTCGCAGAGAAACAATGGTAAACCTAGCGCAGTGCGATATACCAACGATCGATAATTGATTCTTTTTAGGACACGGTGGCCGTCAACGATCCCGAGGTGTTGGCGCTTCCAATGCCGGCAGTGACGGGTGTATCGAGCGCTCCTGATCTGTCACGACTTTTCGCGCTAGCCCTTGACGGCACCATCCTCTCAAATGGCACTCTTGAAACGATCAGCTCTCCTACACTCGACAGCTGGCACCTTGAAAAAGTTAGTATCTAAAATGATCCCTGGAAAATGGTTCTCTCACTCCAAAGTTCCATAATTAGGTGACTCTCTGGCCAGTTCGAAAGGGCTATGGATTCTTCTACGAACGGAATCCTATCGTACCAGTAAGTTGATTGTTCAACCAGCTTGTGCCACAACTAACCCTTCAATTTCAGGGCGCATTCACGTTTGGTCATCCAGGGTATGGTGGCCAGTTTGTGCACGTGGACCCTGCAAATCAATTGGTGTTGGCGTACTTGGCAAACGGTCTGAAGACTGGCACGGGAGAGTTGTGCACCACATACATGAGGCTGCTTCGAGCCACGTATAATGTTTTGCAGGGACGGTAGTCCTCAATCGATGTAGCGAAAGGCAGTGGGTACGACTATTTGGTTGCTAATCAATATTGGTAATCATGCCTAGCAGAAAGGGGAGCCATGAGCAGGCGAAGTCTGACGTATTCGCTGTCAGAGGCCTACTCGAAACGGCTTAGCCTAGCCCTATTGAATTGCAGCGTGTCCAAAGTTTCGCTCCGCCTCCAAATAGCGGCCCAGCCGCTGTGCTTTGTCCGTCTTTGCTCATGCATTGCGACAGAGAGGCAGAGTGTGGCGCTCAAACAGTCGATGCCAGGTGATGATAGTTTCAATGGAATCTCTTCCAGCGCGCAAAAGCAACTCGGATAGAAGTCCGTTCTGCAGACACAGATTTGGGCCCCGGCAATCATTGACACTTCACATTTTTCGAACGCAACAATAGTTGTCCCTCGCCTTCAAACCACGTATTTGATTCTGCTAGGTACATCGATGTGCATAATTCGGTAGTTCACTTCAGCATTGCAGACACTCTGTTTACGTGATTGTAAAAGTCTGTATATGTACTGGCCAGAAGGGCATCCGCACGGTTCTAGCGCCTTTCACGGCTGAATTTTCAGGTAAAGCATAGTGTTCTTTGGTCAGCGCTGCCATCTCGCGATCTTTTCCGATCTCATTCACGATTTATTACTTAATTTGCTCACTTTGTAATTAACATTTTTGAATACGGTTTGTGATGTCAACACTTTTTGAACATAGGCATGATATGAATGAGGAGAATAAATAAGTTACTGAATTTTTTTCGTGTCTGGTGTTATTTTCCATTCGAGCGAGGGTCTGAATACGCATGCCATCATCCTTTGTGGTTATGTCCCCACTTCACTAGCTAAAACCACACACACTAGTTGTGTATAGGACTTCCGATGAACGCACTCCTCACACACTGGCTTTGTTTTCAGTAAGCGTCAGATATCTGTTCTCACATGCTGCCTATCAGCCTGAAATTATGAGATTGGTCGCGTAGTCTTGCAGCCAAATTCAATTTCATTTGATGCTAGAAAATTTTTGTGAGAAGAAATTTCCGCAACATGTTTGCTGACGTAGCATCCACCTTTGCAATTTCAGCCAACCGTCCAGCTCGTTGTCTCGCTACTTGTTATGGATATTACACCGATTTCGCGAAAAAGCTCTTCGTACCCTTAATTTTCACGAGTACTGCTTGGAAATGTTCCGCGAGTCATTGACTTCTAAATATTGACTGACGAATACTGAACACATTTCTGTTCGAGACACAACTTCAATTGGGCCTACAGGAATCTCCTAATTTGCATTTATCGACATCTCTGCTTTTCCAAATTTAGTCCTGGAGAATCATCTCTTTATCTCGCCTGCTGCCTAGCTGGTTCACTTAACAATGTTTTGTGTTCCCTAGTTTTTACTGATGTTAAGATGTGACTTAATGTAGCGCACCTAAGCGTGCAATAAATAAATAAATAAATATACTATACTTACTTGGATACTTGGATGCTCGTTGTCAGCCGATGATCCTCAGCGGCGAGCACACGCTTCCCTCCATTTTTGACGATCTTGAGCGGTTTGGGCCCAGTGTTGGCCAGCATCTTCTTGAAGTTTCTTCAGGGAGTCTCTCCATCGTGTTGCAGGACGGCCAAGTGTGCGCTTCACGTCTCGTGGATACCAGAACGTAACGCGTGTGGTCCATCCACCGATCAATCCATGCGTCTCTGACCACATGTCCGGCCCATCGTTTCTTTGCGTCCCACGTATACACTGCGGCGTCACGGATACCAGACATTAAGCGCATGTCTGTGCTGCGCAAATTGCGGCTTCTCTGCTCCCGGCGGTTAATGTTCAGCAATGTCCGCTCCAGCGCTCTTTGTGCGCGAGTCAACATCATCGTAGACGTCTTGTTCTCCGCCCACGTCTCGGATGCGTAGCAGAGTGCGGGCAGTACCGTAGAGTCGAATAGGTCAGCTCGTATCTTCTTGTCCGAGATGAGCTGAGCCGCCTCTTTGATGCTTCCCATTGCCGTCCATGCGCATTTCTTGCGCCTCATGATCTCTGCGCGCAAGTTGTTGTCCACGGAGATGAGTCGACCGAGGTACACATAGCAGTCGGTGTCCGGGAGTGCGGCGCCCTCCGAGTATGATAGGTGACGCATCTGCCCATTCGTTCCGCATGACCATTGTCTTGTTCCGGTTTATCGTGAGGCCAATGGCTCTGCCGACATCGTCCAACTCCTCCACCATCTGCTGTAGTTCCTTTTGGTCTTGACTGATGAGGACGATGTCGTCTGCGAAGCGTAAGTTAGACAACTTCTTGCCGTCGATGTCGATGCCTCTATCATCCCAGTCCAGCTGTAGCATCGCGTGGTTGAGGGCGGTGGTGAATAGCTTGGGAGAGATCGTGTCACCTTGCCTGACTCCTTTTTCAATCGGCACGCGTAGCTCTCGTTGAAACAAGCGGATGGTGGTGAATGTGTCCGTGTTGCATTGTTCCAGCAGGTTGATGTAGCACGGGTCGACGCCTGCATGGTGTAATGCGTTCCAGACAGAGTTGAGCTCCACACTGTCGAATGCCTTCGCATAGTCGATGAAGCAGAGAAGGAGTGGCTGCTTGTATTCCTTGGTCCGCTCGATCAGCTGCGTGACGGTGTGGATGTGGTCCATACAACAGAAGCCCTTGCGGAACCCGGCCTGCTCCACTGGTTGATAGTCGTCCAGTTGTCTTTCTTGTATTGAATAAAGTCGTCAGTTGTCTTTTCAGTCTGTTCGAAATATCTTCGTGATTATAATATATAATAAAAATGTATGATAATATAATCTTCGTGAAATATAATAAATAAATAATAAATAAATAAATAAAGTCATGCTACATCAAGGACTAGCCAAAATATGGCAGGGCACGCTCTCTCAATTCACGGTACACCGGCGCTTCACTCTGCTTAGCGTTGACTTTTTTATTTGAAGACGATCCACACTCTAACCATCGTCTGTCACTGGCAAATCAACGATGCTCGTATCTGACGCTATGTTAAAAGAGATGCTGATAACTAACGATCTATTGAGCTTTAAGCTGAATCTGTAACTAGTATGAATTCCCTAGTATCCATTCCTAGTATTCATGTCTCTCTTTTGCTCATGTTCTGGAGAACTGCTGCGCATGAACGAGCTTCTGTGTGTGTTTTTTACTATTCACTAATTTTCCTCCTCTCTAACGAATCATCGGGTTTTATTGCAGCTTATTTAGCAATTTTCCGTTTATTCCATAACTCTTTATTTTTTTCTTGAGTCTGCTTAATGATTTGCATACAGCCTCAAATGCTTCAACATGGCGCGTCATTGAACGCATGAATAAATAAATAAATAAATGAAATTTGCCCGGAGTAATTCTGGTGTGACAAGGAGACAGCACTGAGGCATCTCCTAATCACGCCGCCAGGTAGGGATTCTCGAGATTTTGTATGGACAACGAGAGGTGTCGAGCTGTGGAACCCTACGTGGTAGATGTCGCGTCAGTGCGGAGTCAACCCCGGCTCGATGGCAACGCTTTTAACCCTTTGACGACGCCGCTCTACTGTGTCTAAGCGGTGTGGGACCGCCAGCGAAAACATGCATGTGTCGCAGCGGCGCCATAGGCCCGGAAGCATTGTTGCTCATTATGCAAACATTGACCAAACAGAGACTTTCCTTCCACTATTCATATATCTAATGACTTATATCTACGCAGATGAATATGCAATTAATGAGAAAGACTAATAAAAAAGACCTTAGAATTCCTAAGTCTTCTGATAAGTATACATAAGTTGCCCCCAACGAATGGGTCCTATCGACTGAATCATGCAGGAAATATTACTAAGATGGGGCAACAATTGGCACAAGAATTAGGCCCTGTTCAGAGATGTCCGCTTGCGCGAAAAAACGCATAGGCGAAACAATGTGAAATATGTATCGACTGAACGAAGACGCACAGGCGAATCGTGAAGTGGGAGGATCGACGAAAATGAGTATCATACGCATCGACTTACGAACGCTTCGCTCACGCGATTTTCCGCCTGTGCGTTTCTCACAGTCGATACATATCAAACTCTTGACTGAAATTCGCCTGCTCCGGACGTTTCGCTTCGCTTTTTCCCATTTCAGTCACTCGTGTCTAAATCTTGGCGGAAGATTTCGTTGTGCGTTTTTTTTTCGCGTAGCGACACTCGAACAGGGCCTTACCTGCTCATTTTCTTGTTTCAAAACTCCACCAACCTGTGGCTGTTTTATTCTGTTAGGTGGAACATTTTTTCGGCTATCATTGAGCATTAGAAGCTGTTTGGTTCATCTTGTATTTTGGATTTCTCTGTAAAAAAAGCATCCCGTAGACGCCATTGGTGTACATAGTCTTAGTTTGGGAGTCGTCTCATATTTGGTACATTAGAGATATCCAAGAATGTCGAAGGGGCTTAAAACGAAAGACAAACCAGACAAGTGTTGATTTTTATGCACGTTGACCAACTCTTCTGCTAACGAACACAGGATATTGTTTTAGGTCTAGGACGGAGAGCTTCCTACCGTATCCGTTGTGCCACTGCACCTGCGTGCCACCAGAACGTACCACCTGCCGTTCTCTGTTTCGATGCACCATTCTTGTTCTAGAGAAAGAACGTCATCTCGAAGCATCATGATGTCAAAATTGAACAGTCCATCTTGTCTCTCGGAGTCAGCCGCATTCACCGAGTTCTACGAGAGTGGTATACAGCTTCTAGTCGCTTTGGAATAGATTGTAGACTTCGATGCCGAACTATTGTGGGCTGCGATGAACGGTAACAAAAGGCTAAAAAAATGTTGGGCCAGTTTGTTGCCAGACTTTAGAACCAACCTAGTATATATCCGTAAACAATTTCCCTTCCTGCTGTTTTGTTTCTTGAAACCTCAAATGAATGACCATTGCTTGTTTTTCTTCTGCCATACAGGTTGTTACGATGGAACTATTTATTCGGTCGACGTTTCGAACAACTCGTCGTCTTCAGGACC